CTGATTGAAATATATGTGAAACATACTTATCTTGTTGAAACTGAGTATAGACATGTTTTGATTCCTCATGCATTATGGTAATCATAATATTTTTCCTTATTATGAGCCATTAAATAGACATGTTTTGATTCCTCATGCATTATGGTAATCATAATTTTTTTCCTTATTATGAGCCATTAATGCTATAAATTTCGTATGTTTTGGAAAGTTCTGTACACACAGATTGAATTTCACGAGAAGTAAGGAAACCTAAGAGGATTAGTTTATTTAATGTACACAATGGAAAAAAGTCATTGACGAAGAATGCATAAGCTATTCGTTGTGATATGTGTTAGAAAAGCAAGGAATAAAAGATGAATGATTTGAAATGTACCTTGGTGGCATCGAAAAGTGATAAAAACGATGATTGACTTGCTGTTAATGTGGTAGCCTATTGTGTGGTGGCGGTTGAATCTGCGGGAAGGCAGATTCCCATTGCGTTTCTTGAGCGCATCAAAGAAGAATTCTCCAAAAAGTATGGCGGAGGTAAAGCAGCCACTGCTTCAGCTCGTGCCCTCAACAAAGAATTTGGGTATATCAATTATCACTGATTAAGTTCAATAAATCTCCATTAATTATTGTTTAAGGCCGTTAATTAGAAGAGAGTTGATGTCTTATAATTTGTAGGCCTAAGTTAAAAGAGCAAATGCAATACTGTGTGGATCATCCTGAAGAGATTAGCAAACTTGCCAAAGTGAAGGCTCAAGTTTCTGAAGTCAAGGGTGTCATGATGGAGAACATTGAGAAGGCAATAATTAACATCCTCAATCAATTAGTTCCCATGCTCTAAATATTTTATGCATCGTCATCGTACAGTGTCTCAGATCAAGAGATTTCTTTTCACAGGTTCTTGATCGTGGAGAGAAGATTGAATTGCTAGTGGATAAGACTGAAAACCTCCGTTCACAGGTTTGCTCGTGCATTAAAGCGTATATAGCCATTTTCAATTCTTTATTCGTACTTAATCACACGAATTTGGAAAACAGATTCAAGATAAAAAGATTCTTTTATTTGAAAAAAGTTTATTCCAATCATATTCAATACTAATGAATGATTTCATGGATTTGTTAATGTTGGTGAATACGTGCAGGCACAGGATTTTAAAACGCAGGGCACAAAGGTGAAGAGGAAAATGTGGATTCAGAACATGAAGATGAAGTTGATTGTTTTTGGTATTGTAATTGCCTTATTTTTTATCATTTTTATGTCTGTTTGTCGTGGCTTCAGCTGCATAAGTTGATCCTACTGGCTAGTGTTGCTTCTTGTTTCTTCCCCAACTATCCCATTCAGACCCATTACATTCATTTTTGTCCCTTACACATACGTTTGTGCTGCCGTTTATTTGCAACTTCTGTGGAATATGATCTTTTGTTGTTGGCTTTCTCTCTTCTTTTCTATGCTAATCGGTATACCTTCCTGCTCTATAAGCTCCCCCCCCCCCAAAATTTTTGCTAATTACTTTATTTAGAGATATGTATATGCAGAGAGAAAATCACGTTCAACCAATTCAAAATTTAAAAAATTGATTGGCCAAAAAAAAATGATAGTCACTAATCTTTAAAACTAATGCTCCTTTAGGGGGAAAAAAAAAAAGCGTGCGACCTAATATAGTCTCATTAATATAACAAAGGCATTTCAAGCTTATCATTAGAGAAAATATCATCACAACATCAACAAACCTAAATTTTAAAGCATGAAAAATGTATACTAATGATGGTAGTAGCCGTAATATTTATTTTCAGGCGAAAAAGGTCGTAGTGATTTAGTTTTATAACTATTGGGGGAGATTTTGATTTTAAAGATATTTTGGCTGTCAATTTTATAGGCCGGGCATTTTTATAGATAGTGCTTTTTCATAAAATTATTTGAAATCTTTTATTTTTAAATGATCAACAAGAATCCAATTATTAACAGATTTCTTTTTACGGTTAATCTGAGAATTGTGTGGACATTTTGAATGATAAACACCTATATCAAAATCGCAAACGGTTTGAAAGTTAGATCAACGTCGTCTCGTGTTCATAGGCCCTCGCATCATTTTTAGTCAATCAAAACAACCTGTCATCAACTGAGATACATATAGCTTTAATATCTTCAAACAAAAGAACCTATAAGATTTTTGTTCCTGTAAGATTTTTGTTCCTCCTCCATCTAATTTTAATTTTAAATGAGAGACACATATAGTTTTAATATCTTCATTTAATATGATAATGATGTTAAGTCGTCCCATGAAAATGTTTAAATGCCAATAAAGCCTCGGGAAACGAGAAAAAAACATATTTAGATCTTGAAAGACTTTAATCAAATTAAAATTTTGAGCATACTTTTACCTTCTTCTTTTTTCAAAATAAATAATCTTCCTCCATGGTCACTGGTCAGAGTCATTAAAGATCCATTTGGATTAAGGATAAGAAAAATAACTTATTTTCAATTTGAATTTGATTTTTGGAGGTAACTCCCTTCCCCTCATTTGGTTGGTATATTTTTTAAGGAGGGGAGGTGAGCCCCTTATTTGGCTGGTATATTTTTTTAAAAAGCGAGGGGCTCTAATCCCCTTCCTTTTCCTTCCATCCTCTCTTCCAAAAGTGAGTTTTGAAAGAAAGATGAGAGATAAAATTTTATATTTTAAAATTAACCTGAATAAAATATTTTTATTCTTTTCTTATCCTTTTGATTTTTAATATAGATGATATATTCACCCATGCATCTTTTTCACATGGGTCTTTTTATTTTGGAAATGTGGATGTTTACTTTAATTGCAATTTATACTAGTAGACAAGTTCAATCTAACTTTTTAATTTGGTTTTTAAAGAAGGTTGGTTTAATTAAAAATATTATAATTATTGTTATTCTGAACAAAACTAGTATATAATTTGTGATTGTAATTTTTATGCAAGTTTAATAATTTTTTATTAAATTTGGCAGATTGCATTATACATATTTATATTTTGATAGAATAAGGTATCATTAAAATCTCTCATCTTAATTGTACAAGGTTAGAATAATTAATTTTTTATTAGCTCCCCTTCCTTCCCCTTCTGAACCAAACAAGATATCATTAAAATTCCTCATTTCTCCTCCTCTTTGTTAAAATCTCTCCCCTTACTTCCTCCTCTATGCCCTCTCCTCTTTAGCTACCCTTTTTTTTCCTCTCCTCCCCTCACCTTCATTAAAATCCCTCCTTCCCTCCCCTCCGTTAAATCAAACAGAGTGTTTGGGTTGAATTTTATAAAAGTTAGTTTATAAGAGTTAAGTTGGGCAAAAAGATATTTATATTATGATTGAATACAAGTAAATTTAGTTTATAAAATTATCAAAATGAATATAACTTTTATTAAACAATGAAAAATGATTCAATAAAGGAATACAATGAATTTAATAAGTCTCGCTTGTAAAAAGGAAGAAGAAAGGAGCAGAGATGAAGAAGTAAGAAAACGAAATGACCCGGTATGAGACAGAACTAATAGTGAAGAAGCGATGGAGCTGTGATGTCTCGTGGTAGAAAATAATGAGCGTGGGAGAGAACGAGCGATTTGAGAGAATAATGAGAGACGAGTGAGAGAAAAATGATCTAACAAATAACCATTACCTTAATGGTCCACCAATCATATGTCATTTCAAAAGCACCTCAAATGAGCTAAGGAAAATCATACTTTTCAATCCCACTTTTGGCTCATGAGTAGGAAGGGCCAAAAGCTCAGCCAAACAAACTCTAATTTTTCAAATATGCTTCTGGTAAAAATAAATAACTTATGAACCTTCAATTGCTGAGCCAAACAGGCTCTTAGAGCTTTCAGCAATTGATGAATTGTTTAAAAAAAGAGCGGCTAAATTGGGATTTGATTCAGCAATTTTTGATTCTCCAAAAAGTAAAGTTCTTAGTATTTTGAGAGTATATTAGTTTAGTTCTAGTTTAGCATATAATGAATAGTGACTCAAATCTTGAAATTGACTGTGTGGAGGGCACATAGTTATTAATTTTGGAATTTTTAATAATAAAAAGCAAAGTCATCATTTTTTAAGGATATTTTATTATTTAGTTCTGAGTTCTCTTCACAAAGCAGTTGTCATTTTTTAAATTTTTTTAATACAAAGATTTAGAGGATTCATCAGGACCAAAATATGCCTCCAAATTCAGAAAGTATTTATAAAAGTATTTATAGATCATCACCAACAAGATTCTCATATTAAGAGTAGGATTATAAAGTTTATTTGCCATTTTTCAGAAATAAGTTGTCATTGTGTCAAAAAAGATGACTTAGGAGTTGTTATTGCGTCAAGGTAACCATAAAGCTCCTGTTTGATTAATACTTCTCAGAATATCACTTTCCGTCCAACGCACCGAAGATAAATCTAGTTATTTATGAAATAAGTTGTTATTGCGTCAAACAAAAAAAAAACAGAGGGAAGGGAATTATAAGCCGAGTGGTTTTAAAGTCTTTCGAAAAAAACAGCATGGCCAAGGCCTTCGGTGATCCGCGCTAACCTGTGAAAGTAATTTGTAAATAAAATTAGAGGAGCATTTTGTGGTACACTGGTACTGCCCTTTATTAGCTCAATGTTATTGATGTGCAATAAAATCTCACCTAATTCTGATCAGCGGAGTTGAAAAAGATTTCAGCCCAACATTATTTAAAGATTTAAAATATCACGAGTGATTTTTAAGTGGCATGATGTGGACGAATCACAGTTCGTTCATGTAACGAGTGGTCAGCGAAAATATGCCACCAGAAGCAATCTTGTCGTGTTTTGGCATTCCATGCCTCCCACTCGTTATTTCAAGGACGCGCCCATTTCGCCCAAAATATAATAATGCATGTATCAAATCAAAAGAAAATATAAACAAGCCAATTTTCCTCAGCTCCTTATTAGCCACGTATCCCTTTAACGACCACCCTTCGTAATTCGTATTGACCAAAACGGAAAACTGGGTGCCGCTTTCTTACCACTTTCACTGGTCCACCACCCATACCACCACTATCAAATTCTACTCCCCTCTGGAGATTTTCCAAACTTTCGCTCTCCAGGAAAAAAAAGGTTGTACAGTTCCGCCATGGACGCGGCTTCACAGCTCGTCTACTGCGGAATCGATCCCTTTCGTCGCCGGTCTCCTTCTCAACTCTCAATTAGCAGGAACAAGGTTCGGTTTCGCCGGCGGCTCAGTCGGGTTACCGCGGTTTCTGCGGAACCCAGACCCACGCGGACTTCGTCTCCTCCAGCAAGTAATGTCAATGGCTCATCCAGGTCTTCGCCGCCAAAATCCGTCAATGGTGTCTCTACGGTAACTTATCAGACCCTGAACTTGACTTCTTCCTTGGGTAGATATTGCTCTCTGGAATGTCACCATATTCACACTTGTGAGTAAATTTAGCAACTTCTAGGTTTAGTCGCTTAAGAGCACTCTAGATTCAATTCACGGGGAATTGCAATATACTTCTTTAAGCCACTTCGTAGTGGTGTGTATATATTTTTAGTTAGGCTTCTGCAATCATTTGCTTTGGGACATGATAATAGATTGGCTTCTTAGCTTATGAAGTTTTAGTGCCTCTATCTGTTGATAAAAATGATCGTGTTTCTATGCTATTTTTGATGTTGTGGCTTGTCATCTCCCTTCCTTTCCTCCTTCTTCTTTAAATTCATATTTATTTGATCAGGAAGACAGCTATCATTCTCAGATACTTTACCACGCTTTTTTTAATAAGATTTCCTCTGCTATTTTAAACTTTCTTGGGGTTGTTTTTAAAGTTCTTGCCTTATCGGTTGGTCGAATCGATGGTCTGATTTCCCATGTTTTGGTTTATACTTAGTATTGGATTTAACCTGAGCTAACTGTTGCAACCAGCAGAAAATTGGCGATGTTTCTATTTAGTCAGTATTGGATTTGACCTGAACTAACTACTGCAACTGGCAGAAAATTGGCGATGTTTCTCAGGAGATTAAAAGGGTCAGGGCACAAATGGAAGAGAACGAGCAGTTGGCATCACTCATGAGAGGCCTTCGAGGACAAAATTTAAGAGATTCATTGTTTGCTGAGGATGACGTCCAGCTTCGTCTTGTTGAGGTATTTACAGTCACTAATGCTATGTCTAACTCTACTAAACTAATTATGATACCTCGTTCTAACTACTGAGTGATATTTCCGAGGCTTCTATATTTGTACAGCTACTTGTTGTGAGTCTGAGCTTGTAATTTTGTTGCAAATGAAAGCCATTGTGGTAACTTACGCGGGGAAAAATAAATTGAAACTATCAGTCTGCAATTCATATACAATCGAATTGTGACTTGTGCACATTTGAAAAGAGAAACGGTTAGATTTATTCACAAATAGAATAAATCCTGAAAGCTGGAAATTGTATAGAAGACAGTGCAGGGTAAAATCCTGAAATGTTTAAGGTAGCACTTTGTGTTGGCTTAAATTTGGTTAATTAAATGGATATCTTGTATAAAACTAGCTAACATAGGAATCCAACACTTCTCTCGTCTCTTGGGCGCATGATTTGCATTTAATTTTAGCTCTCCGATCTTATATGTAATTTTTTCTCTTTCCTCAAGGGATCTTCCCATTTGCTGTTTATCATTGTACTGGATCTTTATTAATTTTTTAAAAGAGAATAATGCCAGACTTTTTATGATATTATTTGGCATTTCATGTTTCTTTAGGTTGATGAAAGTAGTGAGTTCTTGCCCTTGGTTTATGATCCTGCCAGCATTTCCGCATATTGGGGAAAACGGCCGCGTGCTGTAGCAACACGCATTGTCCAGTTGTTATCTGTTGCTGGGGGGTTTCTTTCAAGACTTCTCTGGGATGTGGTTAACAAGAAGGTTAAGGAGGTGAGTTTCTCTGTCATGCTATCTAGCATCTGAGCTGTTGATGCATTCTCATGCCACTTCTATTTGAGTTCTATTGATACGGTAGAATTTGTAACTAGCTTTAGTTCTGAAGGAAGTCACTTGTTAGCAAGTTATGGAAAGAATACTGGGGATGGAAATAAAACTACAAGGGGAAGGAAAGAAAAGTAGGTTTTGTTACTGTTGCTTTTTCTTGTTAAACTGCTTGAGAAGAGGCCAGGAGGTTGGTAATGTGTGGCACTACCTGGTCTACTGAATCCACTTCCCTAGTTCCTTGATAGGTACATTCACGAGAGTAAGATGTACATGTAGAACTTCTTAGGCAAGTTCTTTTGTTTTTGTTTTTCCACTTTGGGCAGTCTGCGTGGGTGCGTGTTAGATAAGTTAATAAAAGCATTCATGCGTGTGCTTCTACCTGACTAAGCTTTGAGAATGAAATGGTCCCTTCCTCACATAATTCATGATTACTTAGAATTGGGTGCACCAGCTGGTTCGGTTAGGTTTATTACAAACTAGTTCTTGGGTAATTACTAATAACCATGGTCATATACCACTGCACCAGTTTCCTTACATCTCATAGCCATGATATAAATTGCATTTTTCTCTATCATGTGGTGGCTATTCTGATTTACCATTTCCATAACCAGAATGAAGTTGCTCGAGCCATTGAATTGCGGGAAATTGTAACATCTTTGGGTCCAGCTTATATAAAACTTGGTCAAGCATTGAGCATTCGACCTGATATACTGTCACCTGTTGCAATGACGGAGTTGCAAAAGCTTTGTGATAAGGTAACGCTGGTGCTCCTTCCATGCCCCCTTCTCTCTTGCTCTCTCTCCTGCATTTGGTCTTGTTACATTTGAATTTGATCCAACTTTCTTCATAGTCCGCATGCAGACAAAAATGGTATACCCTAAAAAGTTAAAAAGAAGCTTTATTAGTCAAGTTCTGTGTATTCTTTACTCAAAGCCACTGTAGAAACATAAATTGGGCTTAAATTAAGAAAGACGAACCTCTCTTTGGTTTATGATCCTAACTTCTCAAGCAACTTTAAAAATCTGTGCTATCTTATTCAGTTAGATCCAAGATTTCATTTCACCAAAAAAGAAAGAAAGAAACAAGATCTCATGAAGCATGCGTGAATTTTGGAGTTAAATGATTATATTACAGTGTCCAATATTTTGACAATGGCTTCTGATGTTATTCTTTTTCTTTTGTAGGTTCCTTCATTTCCAGATGATATAGCAATGGCTTTAATTCAAGAGGAACTTGGTCAACCCTGGCAAAACATCTATTCTGAACTTTCATCCTCTCCCATTGCTGCTGGTAGCTCTCGAGACAATCAGTTAGATATAGTAGATTCTTAGTAGAAAAGTATAGCCTCTCTTTGCAAGGTTTATTGAGTTAATCAATAAGCAAGTATTAATTTTTATGCAAATATACACAGCATCTCTTGGACAAGTATACAAGGGCCGTCTAAAGGAAAATGGAGATTTGGTAGCTGTTAAAGTTCAGAGGCCTTTTGTTCTTGAAACTGTTACAGTCGATTTGTTCATTATTAGGAACCTGGGTTTGTTTCTTCGGAGGTTTCCTCAGGTTAGTTAAATTCTTGCAAAGATAAATTGGCGCCTTATCTTTATGTTAAATTGAATTTGGATCTTGATTTCTTGAAGCGACAACATTGGTTGTTGATAAAAACATTAATCATTAATTTTCAATGTCTTCCTCTCAACCCAGTTGCTTTCTATCTGTATATTTTCAGGTCTCTTTAGATGTGGTTGGCTTGGTTGATGAGTGGGCGGCTCGCTTCTTTGAGGAGTTAGACTATGTTAATGAAGGTGAAAATGGGAACCGTTTTGCTGAAATGATGAAGAAAGACCTACCTCAGGTGAGCCTGATCACTTCTAATCTAGATATTTTATTTTGGTTTCCATTTTATTATGCACAAAGTATGGTTAGTTTTACCACAATTGACAACAATAGTATGATAATAGTCACTAGATCCTTGAGAATTCGCATACTTCCTCTGACAGTTTGAGTTATAGGTTGTCATACCAAAAACATACACTAAATATACATCCAGGAGGGTTCTTACCACAGAATGGGTTGAGGGAGAGAAGCTGTCACAGAGCACAGAAAGTGATGTTGGAGAACTCGTTAACGTTGGAGTTATCTGCTACCTGAAACAGGTAATTTTTTATGCTTTCTTTTGAAATCTTTTAGATGGCACTAGATTTCAAGGGCGACCACTTTTGTGTATATTCATTTCTTACCATCTGTCTTATGTATCTGGGCCTCTGGACTTGCAATAACATAGTTTATTAAAGAGCTTCTATATATTAAAAGGCCATTGTTAGATATAGAAATACATTGCATCCTGAAACATTGGACTGAAGGCATCTGATTTTTATTCATGTGCTTCAAGTTAAGTTCTTGCCAACTTATTGTTGTATTGATTTATTTTAATTTTTTACCAGCTGCTTGACACTGGATTTTTCCATGCTGATCCACATCCGGGGAACTTGATCCGTACGCCAGATGGGAAACTTGCCATACTTGACTTCGGTAAACTTAAATATTGTCAGCATATAGTGGAATATTATATTGTTTATCTTTCTGCATCATGAGTAGTATTATGTATACCTATTTCATTTACTTTTAGGCTTTGGTTCTCTATGATGCATCTGAGTGAGTGTTTAATAAAATACTCTAAGGAATGTACCCTCCTTTTCTTCATAGGTTAATGTATGAGGAGGTTACCTTATAAGTTGCTGTTGATTTTTTCTTTTACTTTTATCAATCATATTACCATTTTTCTTCCTATGATGAAATCATGCTCTGCATCTGAAGGCACCTTTTCTTGCATAGGGTAAACATTTTTTTCCCCCAAGCATTGTCCATGAGGATTGTGACACTAACAAGCAGAATATTTTACTGGGATTTGAATTTGCAGCACTACTAGTACGTGTACTGTACATGGAATGAAATATTGTTTTGGGCTTTGCATGTTTCTTGTTGCAAAGCTGCTAGACTAGCTTTCTTTCCTTTTTGCACATGTGATAGCGAATTAGTCTTATTTTAATGCACCTTATGTCCACAACAAACCATTTTGTCAAGTCCTTTTCGTGTTGCTTTAAAAATTTGATTTTATTTCCTAATAATTTAGACTGATTTTGGAAGTCTTTTGCTGCTACCAGGGCTTGTTACGAAATTGACTGATGATCAAAAGTATGGGATGATTGAAGCAATTGCTCATCTCATCCATCGGGATTATCCAGCCATTGTTAAAGACTTTGTTAAACTTGATTTCATTCCAGATGGTGTCAATTTAGAGCCTATCTTGCCAGTTCTGGCTAAAGTATTTGATCAGGCACTTGAAGGTGGAGGAGCAAAAAATATCAACTTCCAGGAATTGGCAGCAGATTTGGCACAAATTACATTTGATTATCCTTTTAGAATACCCCCATACTTTGCTCTTATAATTAGGGCCATTGGGGTTCTGGAAGGGATAGCTCTGGTTGGGAATGCTGAGTTTGCCATTGTTGATGAGGCCTATCCATATATTGCTCAGGTATAAGATTTTATGGTTTTCTTTTCTTTTGGTGTACTAAAGCTACATGGCTTGTATCAGTTGTATGTGGGCTTATGCCATTGATTATTGTTTTAAGGTTCTCGTAAAACAACCTAGAGTGCTTGAAAAATGTGCACAAACCTAAGAGCATTGTAGATCACCACATTGTAACTGGATAATGTTTATGTTTGCTATTAAGATTTTTCTGAGTAATCTAAGCTTGGTTTTCATTACATTCACTGATAGAGGCTCCTAACGGATGAATCCCCTCGGCTGCGGAATGCTCTGCATTACACTATATATGGGAAATCTGGAGTTTTTGATGCTGAAAGATTTATTGATATCATGCAAGCCTTTGAGAACTTTATTACTGCAGCAAAAAGTGGAGGTGGAGAGAGTCTGAACGGAAATATGGCTGAGCTTGGAATTCTTCCTGGTCAGACACAGTATCTCTTGCCTGGATTCCAGTCTGTTGTGCCAGGATTCCAGTCTGTTGTCCCCCAATCACAGCAGCCAGTGCAAACAAGGGCAGCTTTAGCATTTTTGCTGTCTGATAGGGGCAATTTTTTCCGAGAATTTCTTCTGGATGAGGTATTGTATAGAAGTGCTGATTCATATATCTTTTATAATACATATCAGGTGAATGTATGTGCGCGTTGTAGATCTCATGATGCATGAAAAAGAGCCTCTCTTTTTTCATTTTACCTTATCCTGTGAGCAGATATAAATATTAGGAATGAATAGCACTTCGAAGAATTTTTTTAAGAAATTCACATGACCAGAGAACGTGTGAATGTGCTCGCATGGGAGCTTGCTTTTGTTATATCAGTACAAGATAGTTGTGTAGGCTACAATGTCAGATTTAAACATAGGCTTTAACATCCATCTTGTATCTCCTGCTCCTAGATCCCCTTTACCATAAATAGTCCCGAATTATTTGTTCCATAATCTCTGATAATGTTTTAACTTAACTTCCTATTGTAAATACCCCCTATTCCCTGTATTTTTCCTTATTTGTTATAACGCTTGATTATTATGATTTTTTTACTCACTCAATTTGACTGTCACGTTACTGCTCATGGAAAGCAGGTGGTCAAGGGTATTGATGCTCTTACAAGGGAACAACTTGTAAGAATAATGTCAATATTAGGAATTCAGAATGCTACCCCAGTTTTCAGTATGGTACCTGATGTTGGCCCGTTCAAGCCCTCAGCTCTAATACCCACCATAACTGAAGAGGATGAAATCATACTGAATAATGTCCAGAGAATACTGGAATTCTTGACTGCAGGAAGTTCATTATCAAGCACCTCCAATCAGGTAATGAAGAATCCACTACCAAGAGACATTTTTCTTGGTCTAGTTTAGTCTGTTTCTTAGATGTCCACCTCTCTGGATTATGCTTGTGTTATTATATTTCGGTTAAACGGTAATGTGCATGGTCATCTAATCTGATCTTTGTTTGTCGGTGGCAATTGGCTCAGAATGTTGCTCAGATTATTCAAGAACTCGTACCAGTGCTGCCGGGAATCTCTGCCAAAGTTCTTCCCGAAGTTCTCAACAGATTATCTTCTCGGGTGTTGGCCAGAATAATACGCGATACATTTTTGTGATTTTTTCCCACCCAACTCCTTAAGGCCCCCAATTGTGTATATCGAACAGAATGCACATATAACCATATAAGTTAAGCAATAAATGTTGTTACACTTTTTTAGAATGCTTTCCGTTTAATGCTAAATAAAACAGGGGAAAGGTATAAAATGAGTGACAAGTATTTATGGGTCATTTTCCTTGCCTCCACAACTACTTAAGGTTTGACCGCCTCAATAAGGCTCAAGGGTCAAGCTTGGGAGTCGGCAAAAAAAAACAAACAAACAAAAAGGCTCAGGCTTGGGAGAAGAGTTTGATAGAAAAATCCTGCGTGGAAATTCATCACTAGCACTTATTCAACGTAATTTCAGATAAGACCGATACATCTGTTTACATGTTTGGATGATATTTTGGATGTTACACCATTCTCATATTCACAATACGTTCTTCCATACAAGCTGAAACTAGATTCAGATATTGTGATATCCTAGCACATTACGCGTATGATATGCAATACAAACAAAATAAACGCATCCTATATCTCAAGGAATATGCTTATGACCATCTTGGATGGAAAAATTAATCAACATGAAAACAACCAAAGTGTGGACGGGCTGTTCCATGTTCTCAAGTGAAAAGGGGCAGTTTCTGGTCCCCAGAAGCATAAGAAATGATACTTCGTTTGAGTGGTGATATATAGTTCGCCCCGTGGAAAGCCGCAGCTCGCAGTACATTCAACGGTCCAAAATCAATAGAGTAAGCTTTTTGAAAGCCCTCAAGGACCGCCATCATCATAATATTTGCTGGCTTCCTCTCTGTTTCGTACTTCTTCAATAAATGTACCTGCAAGACCACCCCATATTACCTTAACGCATTTACAGGTTATAGTAAATCCAACAGTCGACTCTAAACACGTCATAAAATCAATTCTGTTCAGCGAATAGATCTAATTACCAGTGTGAAGAAAAGCAATTAATCAATCACACATTCCTTTAAGTAAATTTCCTACTTAGTAGATGATAATACCATTAATATACTTGATCAACGCGCCTCAAGAAATGGATAGTGAGGGTTCTTAGGTATACGATCAATGACTGGCTGATATTTCAGATCATGGAACCAGGAACCGATGAATTTGATACATTTTTCAGATATTTAACTTGCAACCAGGGAACATTTTTATCAAATGCGCACCTAAATCAAACTTTTCTAGACGGAAAATATGCTGCCAAAGAAAACCAACAAGGTGTGCTCACAATCAAGTGATTGGACATGAAACACATTGGGTGCACAATTTTTTGTGAATGTTAAATAACACCACAGGAATTATATTTCAGCCACTTTTCAGACGCTCATCCTCTATGGCCAGAACACCGGCATTACTTTTGATTACTGCTCTATGATATGAAAATTTGCATCTACAAGTTTTTCATTCCTTCTATTGAACTCACTCCATGATACAATTCCTTGAACTGTAACCAGAACAACTGTTTTGATCTCATGACAACCAGTAAAACCATAATCTATTATTGCAACTTAAGAGTTCAAGAAATAGCTTTAAGCAGAAGATTCCCTCATAGTTTGGCAAAGGCATACGTGAGCTCTGTGAATAGTGAATACACATCTTTTTCCTCCGTCTGTTTTCTTTTGCAGATTGTTTTGGAGGATACCTAATCCTTCAAACTTGCACTCTTTCCTTTTAAAAGAAACCACTTTCCATTTTTTTTAATTAAAAAAAAAACCAGTTTCCATTAGATATATAAGCAATGTGACTAAAGTGCGTAGGTGTTCCATGCATATAAAAAGAAGCATCTCAACGACAATTGTAATTATTTATTTTTTGAGGACAAAATGCATATAATTTTATATATCATCCAGGAAAAGAAATCAGAAATATAACCTACCTCTCCAATGTCATTGCCAAGAGCAATAGCTTCTGCAATTATTTTCGAAAGACTAAATGCATCTCCAAAACCTAAATTAACTCCTTGACCAGCAAGAGGATGGACAGTGTGAGCTGCATCTCCAATTAGGACCACACGCTTTGATGCATAGGTGTTCGCATGCCGTAAGGACAATGGAAACACCATTCTTTGAGACGCTGACTTCACTACTTTAGGAGGAATTTCAAAAAACTGATTGGCTGAGAATGTTGAATCCATTTTAAGCCAAGAGAAAAAGTTGCCAGTTTCTATTAAGCTTGATTTAGGATGAGGACCATAGCCATAATCCAAAGCACGGTTGACATCCTCCACAAAATCATCATCATTCATTGATTTACGGTGGTCTGACTCTGATGGGTTCATGGTCCAAACAATATTGCTAAACTTGTCACCAATAGGCAAAAGTGCGATTGGACCAGAAGGTAGAAACCGTTGCCATGCACATTGGTTTTCAATGGAATGCTCCACCGTACAGATAATTGCATTCTGTGAGTAGTTCCATTCAGTCGTTTTGAATCCTGCTAATTCCCTAACACGTGATTTACCCCCATCAGCTCCAACCTGCAACATTATCATCTATGTGATCAGACACCAAATGATGTATATGACATGGCAAACTCAGATAGTTGCTATCCAATGCAAAAATTAGCATCATTATGCTACATGTTCTATTGGAATCTAACACATTTATATGGAAGTTTAAATTACCACCAACTTTGCATATATACTACTGCCATCACTGAGTTCCAGCTTTGCTAAATTCCTTCGAGCAGAAGATAATGCTTCCGATGACAGATTCTCAACCACTGTAGATGCTGAGCCTGGTTGCAATGTCATTGAAGTTAACCTCAATGGAAAGATTGTTTTCTGAAAATCCGTAGCCTGTCAAGAAGTTCACTGTTCTTGGTCAGATGTGCCATAAAACTTTTGTTGGAACAATTTCATTCAGATTTAACGTAACGCTAAAAACTCTTGATGGAAATATTGAGGCAGAAGCCAAAAGAAAGTTAGACTAAGTAACTCGGATCCTAACATCCAAAGCACCTACTTAAACTACCAAAGCAGCATACAAAAAGGATTCCAAAAACACCAAGACTCAGCACGTCTTCATTCTACACAGGCGCTAGCAAGTTCACTATCCAGACCTATTAATTCAGCCCATATTGACACAAATAAAGAGACAGAATATAAAAGAAGAATTTCTACGCAAACTACAATTACTGAAACAAATACCATAATATATAGATGATAACGCAGCCCTTTTTATAATAAATCTCATGAATGAAATGACCAGTTCTCTACTTATAATGCTTTTAGTAACAATCTGCCTGTACCAATTAAGGTATCTAAATTGCTTGTGCAAATTGTACAACCCGTAGCATAGAGAACCTCTGATTGCGAACATTTCCGTAACAGTATAGAGCATGTAACAACCATAATTGTGCAGCTTTATACCTCTACACGTGATAATAAGGCATTATGAAGCACTTTATTCTCCACCACGCACCTGAACAAAGAATTTGTGTTTAGTAACAGCTAATGTATAAAGAATGTTCACCTTTACAAATGTCCCCCCCTACCCTAAAACTTCTTTATTTACATCTCTTGCATCGTATCTAGTATACCCTAAACCAGTATAATCCCAGACCTGCAAAGAGACAGAAGAATGCATCAAATCTAAACTTATTCCAGAAAAGGATTATTCTATAAAAAATATAATGCACATTGAAAGAGAGAAGCCTTCATCCAGAAAATTCAGGCTATATTCCAGACTTCCAGGTAAATTTATGGTTATCCTTGGACACAAATCCTGTTTTCCCTTCAAATTGATAGTGAGTTTATGGTTATAGTTAATGAAGTGAAAATCACTATGCTATTTTCTATGTTTAAAAAAATAAAGTGAAGTATCTTGTTAAGTAATTCTGCAATATCAATTCTTATTCATGATATCAATTATTCATCTAATGATGGAAACTAGCTTGGAATACCATTCCTTTTCCCTAATCATTAATCGTTAATCAATAAATACCCTGTCCCTCTGTGCAATTGCACCCTGTCACAAAAGGGCAGAAATATACTAAATAAATAAATAAAATTTAATATTATATGATCATTCCTACAGCAACAACAATAGATAGTGAACTTTCTATGATATATAATTAATAAAAATAATATAAATTTCTTAATATGATTTTGACAAGAATAAAGTCAGTCACAGTAATATATGATATTTAAGTATATACTAGGTTGTATATATATATATATATATATATATATATATATATATATAACTGCTGAGATGATAAAACTTAATTTCAAATATTTAAAATTAGAGTGGCCCCCATATATTGGCATTGAACCCAAGATGGTCTACGTTGTTCATAACTTATAACGTTAACATTGATTATGAGTTAATAGTTTGTAGGCATGTCTACAATATACTCAATATTTCAGTCCATGACCATGATACAATAAAAATAAATAACATTGATAACTCTGGCAAACACAGAGCAAACATATACCTGCATTTTATCAAAACTAGCATGTCTGCTTTGCTCAACATATTGCCAAGCACCAGCATCTGGAAATAGCCAAATTATTAAAAGTCACTGAGAAAAGCGCAAGTTCTTATCCGTCATACACAAGCATGAATTCTAGAAATTTTAATGCTCCAATTCCATTCCAATAAAGAAGGATTTGCCATTGCTTGCATAACAGAAAAACATGCATCTTGTGATATGGTTTAATTTAGATGCAAATAGTATTGAAGAGAACCAGGCAAAGTCAATGCCAACCAGCCAATTCAACTATGAACTGCTCCAACCAACCCAGTTCTGCAGATTAGGCCAGTCCTCAGAACTCTTGCTTTTAAGAACTCAGGGCAAAGAAACTAATTTTGCCAAAAAACGATTTCTGATAGCTGCAAAATGTGAATATATTTTTCCCATACATGACACCTCAAAAAAATGCCAAGCATTTATTTAGAGCATGATCAACATGTGGTAGATAACAAGAATGGTGATACAGCAATCGGTTATACTTGCATACAATTAGCGCACACTCCAAAATTTCCAGGTAATAGAAGCATAAGGAGAAAGCCGAGCTCTACTGAACTCATGCATGCAGCTCATGAAATTTGAAGAATCAAAAATGAAAACCACAACTATAACAGATTTAATATGACTAGATACCTCGGAGAAAGGATATAGTTGCAGGAGTTACTGTGCTAACTCTTGGATCAGGGGGGTCATCCTTGTTGATGCATAAGCGACTCCCCACTGCTGGATTGCTATCAATAATAGCAACATTTAACTGCTTTGTCATTGGCAGGCTTGCTAAAAGCAGAAGGAAAACAAAAGACAGTAATTGGACCAAGTGTGGAAATTTATTGGTTTTGGACCAGATCAGAAGTAATTATCTCTCAAAGCATCAGCAAGTAGGCAAATATCTTCCCTCGTTTGAATAGCTAAAGATATTTGCCAAAGTTCCACTTGATGCAATCATTCTTTCCCTAGAATACTAGCCAATCATAAGCAATTGAGCATAAAGTATATGCCGGTCAAAGAAAGATAGGGCAATACAAAAAAGGAAAGCAACTATACACACAAAATTTTACATACCCAAGAAACAAGCTAGAGCCATGCCAACCATGCCTCCTCCAACAATGGCAATATCATATTGTTGAATATTATTGCCAATAGTCTGCTTCTTCTCATGCTCCTACAAATTTTCAAAAATTAAAAAGTGCTATTTTCATTCACTTATCTATTAAAATGAGAGAAATTAAGAAGATGAAAAAGACTATAAAAATAAACTGCACCAGAGAGACAGCAATAACCGACAGTTATAAATATGTTAAAATACATTTTACATCAGTGAACAGAGCGAAAAAGGCAGCTGACAAAACTGACTCTTTAAATAGTGAAGAAGGGATTTATATCATCAGAAGCTGTAATTTCGGCACCTCCCATTATCTAGTATGTGAAGAGGGTAAGTGACCTTTCAATTCTCTACACGCATGTTCTACCATCCCTTGTGTTCTACCATCCATAATTAAGAGATAATAACGGATAGGAAGAAAAAGGGAAAAGGAAAACTCAAAATAGTACACAATGTTAGAACTAAGAATTCATTACATTGACACAATGAGGACGGACTAGCCACCGTAACTACATGAAATTACAACTTCCATGTAAAACCATTTTCAGCATCCCAAAAGCAAAAAATACTACTTCATATCCATTATCTAGACTGACTTACCCTCGCTAATTATTACCTGTTATATAAGATAAGACTATAGCACACAATCGTTGAGTCATTAACCGCAGTGCTACTCGCTCTGCTGGAAATCAACTTTTACTGGGGCATGTTGAATTATCAATATAGTAACAATATCCCGTTTTTTCTAAAACAGATGATCCATATGGGGAGTCAACAGATTTTGATAGAAATTAATCCCACGAGGCCAAGTTTTTTCTCAAGATTAATTAGAAAAGAATATCATTGCCAATTTGATCTATCGAACTACTACTACTAATTGTTCTTATCACGTCTCAATGATGGCATTTTGTAAATTTAAGCTCGTAAAATGCAATTAAAACAAATCATTCTAAACTGTGATCGTGCAAACAAATAATACAACAAAATCAAAGAATACAGGAAGGACCGATGTCAGAGATAGTTATTTGCTTACCTTGGAAAGTTTCCCACTCAGAGAACCAGCAACTTCCGCCGCCTCGGCGCAGAAGGACTTCTTAGGCACATTCATTCTAGAGATATTTGTAACAAGCTTCCTCGCAAGCATCCTGTTAGACCCAACATAGGATAGATAATGCAACTCAAGAAAGAAAGTCCCGTCGGAGATAAAGTTGGAGGTGCCATTTAGCACTTAGGAGCAAAAAAAATGCCCCATCCGTAAACCACCAGTAAAGGGACGACTAAATCAAAATTTGCTGCAAAACTAGAAGGCTCGGAGTTGGCTCGATCCTCATAAGGTGAAACTCATACCTGTTCATCCTTGGCTAAATAATTGACAGCTCGTTCCAGAGGGGATAGAAAAATTTGGCGCCTGAAACAGATTATGTTGGCGGACTAAGAAGAAGGAAAATCTGAGATCATGCTCCCGTCAGAACGGCATGCGCAGAGCACAGGGTGGGGAGAAGTGCGTGGCACCGGTGGAGTTGACGAAATCCGTTCTATCGGAGTTTAGGCAAGTGACGAGTGAGGACTGAACGTCGCGACAATAATTTCCAAAGAAAATTGTCTGTGGTTGAAAACCAGATTGTCGTCCTGTCACCAAAAAAAAAAAAACCCGATTGTCGTCCTGGTAAACCAAAAAAAAAATCGTCCCTAATTTATTTTAGGTTCTTTGCTCACCTTGAAATTATGTCATTTTAGTTTTTTTCCTGATTTCTGTTATTTAGTTATTTTATAATTTAGGATACTTCTATTGTAAATTTAACAAAATTAATTATATTAATTAGTTGGAGAAAATTTATAAATTTTTCTAAGCCATTCCTATTAATTACATATATATAAGGATATTTGTATCAGTAAAATCTCAATCAAATGAGATATTTTAAAGAAATCAATTCACATTTATTGTAAACTAACTAACTGAACTAATTATTTAAGTATGTATAAATTATTTATTCAGTTTTTATATTTACAACTACTACCTCTAGTTTTTAATAGAATAACTTGTTTGATTTTTAATTTGGTCTTAAATATAAGGCCCTAGTCTAACTTGTCTTTTATATTTATTTATTTATTAATAAGTAATTGTAATAGTCGTACATATTAAATAATTCATCAAATAATATTTGATTGGCAATGATATTTTAAATAAGATAACGCCTATTTATTATAATCAATTAATTTAACTAATTTTTTTAATATACTCAAATTAGTCGTCTAATTTTTATATTAAAGAGAGGAGATAGTATAATAAGTTCTATATTACTCATTTGCCAAAATTACTCAAGAGCAGGGAGAAAAATTGAGGGTAAATGAAATAACATACATCATAGTATTATTTCTCCACAATTTTCTTGCTGTTGGAGTATTCTCAAGTTCCCGATCTTACCTTGCCCGTCTCTTCACTACTATAGGGCTTATTTGAAAATATTTATATTAAATGTTCATAAATATGTTTATGTGAATCAAAACAAAAGCCTTCTGACACGTCATATTTTATGAATTACGAGTATAATTAAAAAACTGTTTTTGAATAATTCTAGTAATGATTCTACCATCATACTAGACAAGCACACATTTGTTTGCTTCATGCTCTTCTCGCACTCGTTGTCTTGCCTCCTTTCCTAAGCCTTCTTTGACATGCCCTCTCCTTCACCATTATTCTTATTCAGCAAACAACTTCAAGGTTCATGACAAAGCATTTTGGGCTTGGGCCCAACATTGCCTTCAGCGGATATCCTTCCACGTGTTCATTTCAAGGAAAAAAATTAATTAATTTGATGTTTATTAACAATTGAACAGCATATAATGATAGGTTTCAAAATAGAAAAAACTCATCTGCCATTGAAATCTCTAAACAATTAAATTCTTTCGTTAGGATATCATCATAATTTCAACAAAAGAATTACTGTGCCAGTAAAAAAAATCTCCAGCATTACCACTCGAAATTTTTTTAAAAGATTGATTTTTTTATAAGATAACATTCACTTTTACCAAAGCATTTAATGAGTTTTTTTTTATTTTACTCCAATATATTCTTTTTCTTCTTTAATTCATTTATTGCATCTTTTATTTATTTATTTTTATTAATAACGGTATATTAAAAAAAATATATGTCTTACATATTTATTGTTTTAAATTGATTTTAATTAGTTTCTTAATAAACATAAATAGATAAAATTTATTTTATATTTTAAACCAGATAGATGAAGTACTCGTAATTAAGATGGTTTTTGGTTTTTGGGACTGACTAGCTGGTTTAACTGCACACCTACTCGTACTTGTTGGAGCATGTGATCTATCCAGGTAGGGGGAAAAAAAAAAGTAATCTGAATCATATCCTGTAAACTAATCTATAAATTTTAGCATCAATTTCTTATAAAGCACTTATTGACTTAAGTATTGGAAGCGTATTAAAAATAAAAAATCCCACAGGAAGCTTAACAAGGAGTTCCCATGACTTTACGAGGAGCCGCCCTCCTGGTTTCCAAGAGACCTACCTGCACACACCATTACCAGGACTCAAGCTTTCTGATTTCTGAAAACAGGGCAACAAAAGAGCGTTTGGTTTAAGTTTTCATATTTTAAAAAATAAAAAATTACACACGTAGTAATATGAGAAAAATGGCAAAAAAGGCTGCCAAAATAAAAAAATTACAAATAAAGACCTATGATAGTATTAGTATGGGTTTTGATAATAATTTTTATAAATGGATCCTTGTATACGATTTTTCTATTTTGATGGTATTTTTTTTGTTATTTTTCCTGGTATTATTTAGCAGTTTCTATCTCTTATCGTTCTTATTACGCGTAACAATTTCTTGAGATTACGCGTATCAATTTCGATGTTCTTATTATGGGATATCGATGAATTCATCTCATCTTATCAATTTTAAAAACCAGTTCTTAGTCTTTTTTCGGGGGATATACAGGTAATTTAAATCCTTCCAGCAAAGAAAGCATTTGTATGCGACATACCATTGCCGGAAAAAAAAAAAAAATTAGGTGCATTTATTGTAATAGTAGTTATTCAAAAAAAAGAATTACAATCAAGTCCTATATAAGAGAAATAATTACTAAAAGATCCAATAATAACCTAAGCAGCTTGTAATGACAAATTTTAAAGTAAAGAATAACAATATTTGAAACTTGTTTTGTAATTTTTTTTACACCGGACCTTATTGTAATTTTTCCTAATTCAAAACCTATAGGTTTTTTTTTAAAAGAAATTCCGCGGAACAGTGTGTGAAATTTTCAATTGTTGAGTACAATTTTTTAATGTTGTTCGTGTCCATTGAGAGCAACACGCAATCAAGAAAATCAAACTTTGATATGAATCACTTGAATTGTTAACATCAAGAATTGTTTTATTTGATTCTGTTTTGACAAGAAAAATATTATTTTATTTATGTCTGACTTCTCCAGAAAATCAAATTCAAATTATTTAAATTTTGTCATAAATAATCAAAAGGGAAGCGCTGTAAACCTAATTTTCATTTTGTTTGGCAGCCAGCGTAGAGGTTAATTAAGAATTTCTCCAAGATTGATTTTCTTTCTATTCTACTTCTTCTTCTTTTTTTTTTTTGCCAGGATTTTCTTTCTATTCACAGAAGGTGCAAAATCGCGTCACTTCATTCTGCAACGTGTAAATTTGAGAAATGAATAATCTTATTCATGAGAAAGATAATTCGTCAAAATTTTAAGATTATAAATAAATAAGACTCGTAATAAGTTGTTTTGATATATTCACAATTTAGTTTACTTTATACTTTTCTGGTCTTATTTATAGGGTAGGAAGAAGAGACATTTTCTTGTTTTATTTATAGGATACTGAGAAAAAAAATCTTGTATAGATATATAATTTTACCCTTCATTTATTAATACGTTGACTTTATTTATATGAGGGGTAATTATATTAAATAGAGATAAATTTATAAATTTATTAAATTTTAAATGAGAGTTAATAAATTTAAAGTTTTTCTTGGTCAGTGTGAAACATATTAGTAGTGACTTATAAATACTTCTTCTGTTCCTTTTTATAAGTAACATAAAACTCTATTACATAGATCAAAAACTTAGTTAAAGACAATAAATAGGTAAAAATTAATTTTTTTTCAAAATACCCTTATTTATAGGAGAGAGAGTATAAGAAAAGGAATAACAAAATTATTATTTTAAAGAGAATTATGAAAAAAAATGTGTGATGGAAAGAGATGATTGTTTGACAAATGAGATAAAAAATATATTAATTATTAAAATACTACCTCCGGTTCTTAATATAAGACCCTGTTTGACTTTTATTTTGGTCCTAAATATAAAATCTCAATCCACTTTGTCTCTCATATTTATATATTTTTTCAAAGCAGCCCTTTTAACAATTATACTTCTAGTCAATACACTTGATTAGTAAGGATATTTTAGGAAAGACAACACCTATTCAGGATAAATAACTAACTCAACTTACTTTTTTAATCTCCTCAAATTAGTTAACTGGCTCTTATAATTAGAACCAGAGGTAGTAATTAATTAATAGGGATAAAATAAGAAATTTGTTACAAAAATTTAAGTTAATTGTTATTTATAGAAAGAGACGTACGCAGTTGGACGGATGTAAATACAACTCGTAAAGTTTTCTTATATGTCAATTGTCAATGATTACTTTTCCGCTGCTTCGGTCTCCTATGCATGGTAAGAACACAGACCGCGCCTTCTTCGTCTTATTATTATTATTTTTTTTAACCTTTCATGAGGACATACGGCATTTTGTTTTGATACTTATCAGCCGATTCGTTTGGTCAAATGTTAATATTTAATAATATTTAATTATAAATTTATATAAAATAAAAAAGAGATATAGTCATATGTGATTAGAAAACTTAACATAATAAATATAAACAACTTGATCTAAATTTTTTTTGGTAAAAAATTTTTAATTTGAAATTATTAACATAATTCCCTCATGGTTTTGTTTTTTGGGTCAAAACTCGAAACAGCTACTTCACGGTTTAAAGGCCCATTTGTTTTGATTTATATGAAAAATATAATTTCCTTTTAATCCCCTTTTTTGTAATAATTAAAATAATACTACCTCTGGTCTTTTAATATAAGAGTTTATTTAATTTTATTTTAGTCCTAAATATAAAATTTTAATATATTTTGTCTTTCATATTTATTCATTTTAAGGTAGTTCTTATAATAATGATATTTTTAATAATACAAATAATTAGTAAGAACATTTTATAAAAAAATATCTATTTATTATAAATAACTAATTTAACTATTTTTTAAATTTATTTAAATTATTTAATTAATTTTTATATTAAAGGATAGAAGAAGCATGTTATCTTGTTTTGCTGGCATTGGCAAGAACAACAGGTGTTGACGGTGAATTGGTAATGATAATCGTGGGGATAACTTTCTTTATTTTACCCGAGACACGTTCTGTTCTGTAAGGACCACTTGACTGACATAATAGCGAAGCATATTCGATAAAAAGGCACTGTTGGGGCCTATCAACAATAAAAC